GGTCTGACTCAACGGCACATAACAACAACAACAATTACCTTCTTTAAATAATTATTGTGAGTTTCAAATGATATTTAAAAAAAAAAAAAAACCCTCACTGTTATTGAATTGATTCCAACTCACAGTGACCCCCACTGGGTTTCCAAGCCAGTAAATCATCATGGACATAGACTGTCTCATCTTCCTTCCATGGAGCAGCTGGCAGGTTTGAACTGCCAACCTTCTGGTTAGCGGCAAATGCTTTAGCCATTGGGCCACCAGAGTTCCTTAATCATATAGTAGCTAAATATCAAGCACTATACCAAAGTACATTCATTAGTTTAACCTGTAATTCCTCAACCAACAATAAGCAAAATTAACAGCCTGATATAATACAGATTAGTGAAGATTTTAAGAGTACACCTCAGATACAGAGTTTTTACTTCACAAAAAAATAATAAATGTAAATATTTTTAACATTTTCAAAATCTTGTAGAACTACAATCACTAAACAAATAAACATCTATACGCACTTTTACATCCCATTTTTGTGAAAAGGTTCTTCAGGTCAGGATCCTTAGCATGTGATTCTACTCCACAAACAAATATTTTTGAGGTGTTATTATTTGTTAAGATTGACATATGGGCGACTGTGTACCATGAACCTGTATTGACCATTAAGATATCATCATCCATATTCAATAAAGCCTTGACTGAATGGACAGCAAGACTTCGAGACTTGTCCTACAAGATAATAGTGTGGTTAGAATTTCAAAGGGTACAACCAGAAACATAAACCAACTTCCTTTTGTCTTAGAAAAACCAAAATACTAGGTGGGGATCTTGAAAAGATGCCAAATCCATTTAGTTTAAAATATGTGAGTATATGTCTAAATATGGATAAAGATAATATATGTTTAAAGAAAAAACAATTTTGTTTAACCTTGACTATGACTGTTATTTAACTTTCATATAGTGGTCAGGCAATCCCAAACTCACAAGGCTCTGATTACTAGATTAGCAATGTCCTGCCTTAGCTCCCATTTTCACCCCTTCATGAAAATCCATTTATTTACTACCACCATTCTTTCTTCCCATTACATTGTCATCTAAACTGCTGCTAGTTCATAGGGATTCAAAGAAAAAAGTTTGGGAAGCTTATAAAAGAGGGTTTGATAGACTGGATTTCTGCAGTTAATCTCAGGGTATCACTACAAAAAAGGCCAAAAGATTCCATGCAAAAATGTGACAGTAAAGAAGACCAAGGTGAATCTGAAATAAGCAGTGAAACTGAAGGACAGACAATGAATTGAACCTAAGTTTTTAGACCTTCTCTTTTTTATTCTATTGAGCCAATATTATACCTTGCACTGGTAGGCATTATGCAGTAAAACTTGGGATAGTTGGAACTTGTATAGTCAGAAACCTGTCAGAGAAAGGAAACTTGCGAGGCCTAGAAAAACAAAGCAGTCCCATCAAATTCCACTTCTCACAGGTTTCACTGTATTAAAAAAAAAAAAAAAACTGCTGTCGTTGAGTCATTTCTGATATGGCATCCTAGTGTTACAGACTAGACTTCTCCAAGGGTTTTCTTGGCTGTAATCTTTTATGGAAGCAGATTGCCAGACCTCTTCAGTGACACCACTGGATGGGTTTAACCACTAACCTTTCTGTTAGTAGTCAACTGCATGCTGTTTGTACAACCCAGGGACCTAGCTATTACACACCTCTTAGGAGCTCTGGTGGCGTAATGCCTAAGTCATCTGACTGCTAACCAGAAGGCCGGCAGTTCAAACCCACCAGCCACTCCTCAGAAGGAAGATTGGGTGATCTACTTCTGTAGTGATACTGCCTTGGAAACCCAAGGAGGGATCACTATGTGTCAGGACCGACTCGATGGCAGTGAGTTTGGTTTGGTTTGTATAAATCAAAGCTGTTAAGACTACTAAAGAGGTATTGGAAAGTATTACATATTGCTTTTTCATATATATAGGATGGTACTAGCAAAGTGTTGTTGTTGTTAGGTGCCGTCGAGTCATTTCCAACTTATAGAGACCCCATGCACAGCAGAACGAAACACTGCCCGATCCCACTCCAGCTCCATGATCCCTACTATATTTGAGCCCATCATCACAGCCCCCATGTCAATCACAGTGTCAACACTAGCAAAGTATCTTCCCCAAATATGGAAATAAGAAAAAGTGTCATTGTACTTTCTCTTGAATGCTCCCTTAGGTGACAAAAATACAGCCTTTCAGCTGGCAGCAATATAAGTCTTCTAATCTATGGAGTCTGAGTAGGAGAATATTATGTTCTTTACTACTTCACATGGGATAAAGATGCCAAGGTATAATATGAACACTTAGTGTAAAGATATCAATGTTATTTAAGGTGACAAGTAGGCCTTATAAACCTCTCTAATAATCCATAAAAAAACAGAAACAGCGTTAGGTATTATTTTTAGGTAGAAGGATTCTTTGACTGAGTAGGATTGTTATATAAGATGCACAAGGAAAGAAACATTAATTTACCTGAAGTATAAGTTTGTAATCTTTGAAAAGATCTATACTTAGAAGATCATTTTTAAGATGAGATGGAAAAATTAAGACATCATAGCAATGTTTGTCCACAGCGAAGACTTTATCATCAATATGAAAGACAGATTTGACTTTATGATACCCTTTTTTCCTCAAATTACTATAAACGTCTTCAGGGCTGTAAATATACAACATTAGGTTGTAATTACAAATAGAATACAGTAGAATATATTTAACACTAATATATTTTCCTTCAACAAAGAAAAATATCAACTGCATATACTATATCCAAAGGAATTTATAATTTCAGCCAACAGTAGGTTAAAAGATAATTAGAGACACATAAGTCAATGTGTTCATGTAATTATCTTTGGTATTTTGGTAATAAAATCCTGAACTAAACTGTAATTCCCCAAATACTACCTCCTCCACATCATCCCTCAAAAAAGGTAGTATTTCTTATCACATTACTTTGAAAAGCTAGAGACTTGCTGATGGGTTTGTTTAAAACTCTTACCTGATTTTACAAGTATTTATCCAAGCATAAAGTGGCAAAGTGGAGGCCCTTAGTTCCTGTTTTCTAACTGTTTCTGGTAGAATGTGGTAAATTGAAAGGGCATCATGTTTGATTCGACATCTTGCCAATGATGCAGCCAATTTTGTCTTAAAACTAGAGACAGAAAATCCATTCTTGGTGACAATTGCATTTAAAACAAGATCATCAATTTTCCCACTAGAAATATAAACAAATTACTACAATTTTAACAAATTCTTCTGTAATTCGATTTCAAAATTTTAAGTTTAAAATAAAATGTTGCCATATTTGAAAATGGAAATCCAATAATCTTGTATCTCATATTCTTTTTCCAATTTTTCCTACCCCTATATAGTTGGGCATCTCCTCAGATACTTATATCAATGGTTGATTGAAAGACAGATGTTATGCAGTGGAAAAGGTGTAGGATTAAGAAGCAGACAAACCTGGAATTAAATTCAGGTCCTATGGCAGTTAAGTTGTGTGTCAACTTGGCTGAACCTGGTTTTGAGTTGGCTCGGCAGCTGGATGTACTTACTTCCCAGGCTGAGACTAGTAATCAGCTCCATTGTGGAATCTGCAGTGAGCAGCTGAATAGCTACTTTAGGGACATGGTCTGCTTCCAGTATATAAGAAGTAGCTTTGAGGAAGATCTTGAGTTTTGGGCACATCTAGACCCTGCATTTGGTGAAGTCTTCATCTCAGTGGCCTGCTATGTTGTCTGCTGATCTTGGGACTGTTGTTGTTGTTGTTGTTATGTGCCGTCGAGTCGGACCCGACTCATAGTGACCCCTCTTTGGGTTTCCGAGGCAGTATCAGTATGGAAGTAAATTGCCCCATCTTCCTTCCGATTGGGACTATTAATGGACTTGAATTAGTGCCCTGCTGTGTTACTTGATAATTTTGGGATTGTGCCATTTTACTTGTAGACCTTGGGTTTGTCAGCCTCAGCAGCCAGCAGCCATATGAGTTAAAAGAAGCCTCCAGCTTCAGTGGGCCAGAAGCAAGAGGTAGAGCTGAAGCCCAAGGTCAAGGAGCTTTCACCCAGCCCCTAGAGCTGGCACTTCAACTCAGACTCCTAGCCTCCAAAACTCTAAGAGAATGAACCCCTGTTTGTTAAGGTCATACATTTGTGGTATGTCTGTTAGACCAGGAATAGATAACCAAAACAGGTCCTATCACGTATTGGCTGTGTGACCTCAGGTATATCACTCAATCTTCTCTCTTAGCCTCAGTTTTCTCATCGATGAAACGTGACCAACTTACTTTGCTATTAATGTAGTGAGTAATAATCATATGTGTAAAATACTTAGCAGAGTGTCTGGGATATAGCTTTTGTTTTTGTTGTCAGGTGTCGTTAAGTTGGTTCCGACTCATAGCAACCCTATGAACAACAGAACAAGACACTGCCTGGTCCTGTTCCACCCCACAATTATTACTATGCTTGAGCACATTGTTGTAGCCACTGTGTCAGTCCATCTTATTGAGGATCTTCCTCTTTTTCACTGACCCACTACTGTTCCAAACATGATGTCCTTCTCCGAGGACTGGCTCCTCCTGATAACATGTCCAAAGTGTATGTGAGAGTAAGTGCTTCAAATATTCTTCACTTTTAGGCCAATGAGAGGCTGTCCTGATCAAAGAATTGCTGCCTGAGTGTTCCTGAGCCTGAATTATAACCTGTTACTTCCCCAGTAAACCCAATACTTGTGGGGGGGGAAAAAATCTTCCTCACTTTTAGCAAGCTAGGTTGTGTCATATGCATATTGCAGGTTGTTAATGAGTCTTCCTTCAATCCTGATGCTGTATTCTTCTTCATATAATCTAGTTTCTTGGATTATTTCCTCTGATATATTATATTGTTTCATATAGTGCCAAAAGATGAGTCCCTCAAGTTGAAAGGCACTCAAAATATGACTAGGGAAGAGCTGCCTCCTCAAAGTATACTCAACCTTAATGACCTTTATTTACTGATATGGCACGACTCAAAATGAGAATAGCAACAAACATCCATTAATAATTGGAACATGCAATGTAAGGAGTATGAAACTAGGAAAATTGGAAATTTTCAAAAATCAAGTGGGATGCATAAAGATCAATTTGCTAGGCATTAGTGAGCTGAGATGGACTGGTACTGGACATTTTGAATTGGACAATCATATAGTCTATTATGCTGGAAATGACAAATTGAAGAGGAACAGCATCACATTCATAGTCATAAAGAACATTTCAAGATTTTGTCCACAGAATCCTTCAATATTGCAACTCTAGGCTTGACTTTTCTCCGTGCCTTTAGCTTGAGAAATGCTGAGTGTGTCCTTCACCTCTGCTTTTCTAACTCCAGATCTTTGCATATTTTGTTGTAATACTTTACTTTGTCTTTTTAAGCTGCACTTTGAAATCTTCCATTCAGCTCTTTTACTTTAACATTTCTTCTATTCGTTTTAACTACTCTAAGTTCAACAGTAAGTTCCAGCTTGGCCTTTTCTTTCTTTCCTGTCTTTTTGCTTTCTTCATGTACGATGTCCTTGATGTCATCATTAGTGTTCAGTGCATAATTTCTATTCTTGAGATGGTCTCTAAATTGAAGTGAGATATACTTGTACTTTAGCTCTCATAAACAAGTTTTCTTCAACTTGCATATGAGCAATTAATGGTCTGTTTCTGCAGGTGGACATTGGCATTGTTCTCACTGACAATATTGAGCTTCTCCATCTTCTCTTCCCATAGATATAGTAGCTTTGACTCCTGTGTATTTAATCTGAGGAGGTCCACACATATAGTCACTATTTATGTTGTTCAAAAAGGTATTTGGAGTCTTGCAAAATTCTATCATGTGATCTCCAGCGATAGTTCTATCACCACACGTCCACATTTTCCAACTACCAATGCTTCTGGTATATAGCAGGCACTCATTATATTCTAGCTATTGGTAGTTGAGCGATAGATTTCTCTCCTTCTATGAGTTCAATTTCCAGCCAACGCACCCATGAGCAGTCACCTCCCTTTTGCTTGTGCAGGCTTATGTGTTGCTATCATACTGAACAGGTTTCAATGGAGTTTCCAGCCTGTAACAGAGTAGGAAGAAAGGTCTGGAAATCTTCAGAAAATCAGCCATGAAAACCATACGGGCTGGGTAGCATTTAGTCCCCTGTGCACAGGGTCACCATGAGTCAGGAGTCAACTCAAAGGCAGCCAACAATAAAACTGTCATTGTAGATGACAGCACTGTAGTCTTGATAAAACTAAGGTACTTTCATGAATCTGTATCAAAGCCTTCCCAATTCTAGATATCCCATTCTTCCAAGTTCTAAGTAACATAAAAGAAAAACAACAATCAGCTTCACCAAGAAGGTCCAACGATTTTTCTTGATTTTATAGCCCAAATTTTTAATAAATGAAAATACAGGCCATGTTCTTGCCTCATATTCATAACATTTTCACAGCAGAAGTCTAATTTAAATTGTTTTTGGTGTATATAGGTATTTGTATCCAGAGACATTAAATATTCTGAAACATAGATTTTTATATTCTTCATGCGTATGACCCTCTAGCCAACTTAGAAAAGAAATAAATCCAGAGAAGAGTAGTTTACAGTTGGCCATTTTTCAGGGCTCTAAGAATGACTCATGGAGAAGAATGAGACATAACAAATGGATCAGCACCCAAAGTAAAGTTATTTTTACAGCAAGAGCTGTAAGTTCCTCTGAAAGAATTTGTCACTAACTGCTTAAAGCATTTGACTGTCACCAAAAAGTTGGTGATTTGAACCCACCAGCCTCTGTGCAGAAGAAAGATGAGGCAGTCTGCTTCAATAAAGATTTAGAGCCTTGGCAAGCCAATGGGGTCACTATGAGTCAGTAAATTTGTTTTTGACTTTTGGAGACCATAATTTTTTTAAAAAAGAAAAGAAAAATATTCTAGGCACCTTTCTGATAATTACCCCAGTACTTCCATAGTGATACCACCTCAGAAACCCAAGGAGGGGTTGCTGTGAGTCAGATTTGACTCAATGGCAGTCAGTTGTTTTTTTTTATTTTTTTGTCTGACAAAAGATAGAATGAAATCAGAAAGACTTGGGCATCAATAGAGGGCAAGAGACAGCAAAGGGCAGAACGGTGATAATAAATCACAGCAGGAATAGTTATTTTAAACCCCCTTCCCCCCCCAAAAAAAAAACTATGGCTATCAAGTTGACTCAGACTCATAGGCCCCTTCAGGATAGAGTAGAACTGCCCCTGTGGGCAGATTCATGGAAGCAGACTGCCTCATCTTTCTCCCATAAAGTAGCTGGTAGGTTCAAACTGCCAAACTTTGGGTTAGCAGCCAAATTCTTTAACAGCTACGCCACCAGAGCACTGGAGTTACTTTAAAACTCAACCATTGCCACAGAGTTGGATCCGACTCATAGTGACCCCTCCTTGGGTTTCCAAGGCAGTATCACTATGGAAGCAGATTGCCCAACTTTCCCTCCAAGGAGTGGCTGGCTGGTGGGTTTGAACCGCCAGCCTTCTGGTTAGCAGTCAAATGCCTTACTTAGGCACTATGCCACCAGAGCTCCCTGAGTTACTTTAGAGATCTATAAATAGGGATAGTATAGCTGCTAACATCAGGTAACAGCACCTGGTCATTGTAATTCCAAAGGTTCTTATTGTGCTGCAAGTGACAAACTCAATTCCAATCAGGAGAGCAGAACTGATGTCCTAGGTTTCTGTGTGGGTTTAAGCTAAGAAGAAGTAGAAAATGCACCCACCAAGAATGACTCAAGTTCTTCCTGCTGTAGGAACCTCTGATACAAGGGTTACACTCAGGTTATTTAAAAAAAAAAAAAAAAAAGTGCCTTATAATGGAATATAAAATAGCTTGAAGTGTTTGGGTCAAGAATGGAAGTTATGACAGTATAAAGATTGTCAATTCTCAATGGTTTAAGGAGGACTTAACCCATGGTTTCTTCCTTTTTGATATTGTTAGATGCCTTCATTTACAGCAAATAATAGAAAGTCATCTACTTTTTGAAATCAAGATATTCAGTATGAAAGTTATAGCTGCCTATCTCTACCTCTGTTTCCCAAAGTCCTTAAAGATGATGAAATTGATATATGATAAGTAGTAAAAACAGACTAACAGTTCAGATA